TTAGTGACATATCGCTCGAGACAGACAGTGTGGGCACCGAAACTTAGCAACGGTGATGTTCGTTAATCTCGAAGAAGGATTAGTCAATTGTTGTCATTTTTATAGGTATTCTATAGCTGAAAATTTATTTGCTTTCTTGCTTATGTTCACTACTGCAGACAAAAATATTTTTATTAAAAAACGAAACATCCATCGATGATTTAAGTCGCCTTTTTAAGTGTATCATTTCAACTATGCTAATAAAAAATGCGTTTTTCTGCTGCAAAGTATATAAATGCATTTGATTGAACGTGACACATTACTCTGATTTTTGGTTTCTTGACTGTTCTGACGGAGCAGAGTTTCTTTCCCCAATATAGTATTACTGATTCTTCAGGTTTCAATGCAAATGAGTTGCCATTCTTGTTTACTCTGGTAGGTCGAGGAATTCGGATGATTTGATTTCGACTACGGCACTGATTCTGGAAATCCGATGTTGGCGAATATCGTTAAATATTCTTTCCAGCATTTACGAATAACAATTGAGGTATGACGATGACCAGACATTTTCTCATTGCGCTAGTGCACCGATTGACACATCGCCCAGAAAACGCCCTTGGTACAGATGCCTGTGAATCCGTTGGACTTCCGATGAACGTGCTCACGGATTGACGTTAGTTTGAAACCAGAAAGAGTAAATTAATGCAATGCCTCGGTGTGTCCACGGGTAGAAGAGGTTAGTCAAATAAAGTGTTATACAAAACTAGTGTGCAAACTGCTCCTTAAGGCAAACAACCTTCGATACTCTGAATGGAAGGTCATTCAGCTGAGCACACCCACACAATGAACAGTTTCGAGAGAAAGAGAGAGAACACCTGGTGAAATATTGCCATCTTTCTTTCTTCAAAAACTAATGCTGATTGTATCCCTAAGTTGTTCTAAGCGGGTTCGTGGTCAGATGTCAATCTTCCAGAAAAAGTCGCTGTCGCTTTCAAGGCGACATGGGATACCGTGGACATGATTCTCAGAGCATCATTAACGGAAAGTTTTATAGTTCTGACAGCTCTCTGGGGCTACCGTTGTGGTTAAAATGAAAGTTCTTTTTCTTACCATACATTAACATGCAATGCCAGCTCTCCCTACTAAAAGGGATCGGAATTAAATTATGAAGACCAGGTTACAAATGAACAGCTCATAGTTTCAAACTTCAAGCATTCATATTTGCAGAGCATGCAGTCATGGCTTTAAACTGCTACTCACCTATTTCACCAGATGAGGCTTTGTTTCTGTTATCCATCCTCCACCAGGTGAGGGATTTGTTGAAGGAAGTTGCGCTGAGGAGAATTAGCCGCATAAGAAGTGGCTGTGTCCAAGCTCATTGAAGAAACCTGCTAGTCACTAAAGTTTCATACAGCCCTCACCCGGAACCCAATTTGTGCAAGGGGTCTCTTTGCCCAAGAAGCTGGAAAGCATATACAATAGACAAACCGTCAAGTCGAATGAAATGTACAGCACAAACAAAAATGGTCTTCAGGTCCCATGCATGCAACTTGAATAGGACTACGGCGACTGAGTGCATCACATGACTGACCGATGGATTACAGCAGTGACGAATAGCCATTCAAGGGGCTTTAAGCGTTCAGATAAAGCTACGCACTATCAGAGAGATATGGAAACTTGTATCATCAACTGGCACGAAGTAAAGTGTGCATTAAAATTTGACAATCAGTCAATCATAATGCTACATAACGAAAAATTCCTCCAAGATTTCCGCAAAGGTTGTTATCTCATTAATTGTATATAATTCTTAATAATTTACGCTGTTAGTTGCAGAGTGGTCTTCATGTCCACATGACAACAGGCGAAACCGTGTGATTTTTGACATTATGTTTTAATGCTTCGGCGAAAGTGGTATGTCTCAGCAGCTGTATGTCTGCTTGTAGAATTTTAGGTGTTAGTTTCGGCGGGTACGGATGTGTTGTTAGAATGTAGTATCCTTTACCAGTTCGGGAATAAGTGATTGTGCATTTCTCGCACAGCTCCAA